CACAGGTGGGTCTGGACCATCTTGACTCAGCCTCTCCTCTCCCGCTTTCCAAACATTTACCATCTCGGTGGACCGTACTAGGCTAGGTTTTTTAGTGAGAAATCAGTATCACATCAGGCAAGAATGAAACTAAAGGAGAGGAAAGGCTGTTCACAGCCCCCCATAGACCCGCCGCCTTACGACCGACACACAACTGAGGAGACCCACAGCCAAGTTTAATCTAAGACCAGGGTTATGCAGTGGGTCACGATGAGTCAGAACCGACTCGGCGGCCCCCAACAAGACCAGGGGTGCCGGTGCCACCAGCGGCTCCGTTGTTTGATCCTCACGGTAGGTCCTGCCCCCTGCTCTTGGCAGTTCTTGACCTCATTCAGACCAGATGGCGTCTTCTCGCTGCCCGTTCATGAAGCTGGTAGGAGGATGCTTGGCACCAGAGGACAGGTGACCACCAAGCTCTCCTGTTCTTCTCTCAGTGCAGTCTCTATCTGAGGTCTCTGTGCTATTTGCAGACATTTGTGAGCACACAAACTGTGCTCTCCCCACCCTGCCCAGGAGCAGCCCAGAGGCACACACGTCCCAACCAACACAGTAGTCTGGAGAGTGAATGGGAAGTATGTGTCAACCCGTGTCCTCCTCCTTGGCAGCAGGGAGGCATCTGAGACCCCTCAAGCCATCTGTGTGCAGCTCAATCTCCACGCCAAGGGATCCCCACTCTCTGGCCCTGAGGGACCCCCACTGTCTGCCCCCGAGGGATACCCACTCTCTGCTCCTGAGGGACCCCTACTCTCTGCCCCCTGAGGACCCCCACTGTACACTCCAGAGACATCACATCACAGCTTTACTTGACAGCCGAGGTCAAAGATGCCTCCTCCACACCCGGGGCCTTGGATCCTACTCAGAACGGTTTCCCCCCAACTGCTTGCTCACCCCGACTTTTGGAGACATTCAGCCTGTGAAACAGCTCTGCAGGATCTTCAGAAATTGCTGCGTGAGACTGTGTTAGGAGTCTATGTTGGAGAATAAGACAGCAATTCTGCCAAGCCACATACTTTTTTATTCCTATTCCAAATAGAAAGTCTGAAACAGATCATTTACAAAATGCAAGAGGGATCGGATTTTGGAAGCTAACAGTACATACAAGGGGCTTCAACAAGAGGATGGAAACACCCTATTATCATTCAATAATTCCATTTCCTACAAACTTTTTGAAGCCCCCTTGTACACTCAGCATAAAAGCTATTGATATTAACAAATCTTTCAGTATCTCAGCTAAGAACCATAAAAAAGTCTGAAATGGGAAGTGCCGAGTATCTGAACTAGAAAAAAGACGGATTCATTGATCCTGTCCGGACCCTGAGAAAAACATCTTTCTCAATGGCGGTGGCGGTAGTGGTGTGCTGTGGAGTCGGTTCCGGCTCAAAACAAGCAAAGTTTTGTATAAAATAATTTAATTCAACAAATGTGTTGTTGATGCTGCAAGCAGACTCATAAGAAAAAACCCTCAGATTTCCCAAATTTCATTTAAGATGAAATAACTTTCCTTATGTAACTTCTCCTCTTTAAAAGCAAAGTCAGAGATTATAATGGACACAGATAGCTCAAGACATTAAACGCTAAACGCAACATTAAATGTCAAACACTGAAACTTCCCATGTGCCGATTCTGAAAGAAACGGGCTCTCACACGAAACCTGTTCAGGCCAGTTGAGAGACCGAGGGAAGGAACGAAAACCAATGACTTCCACTGAAGCCCCTTCCTTTACTTCCCCAGTGCCTGTGATTCATGCCATCCGAGTCTGTCATCCAGACATCATCCGTGTGGAGTAGACACTCAATGATTATGCCTCCCCTGCTCCTCTGTGGATCAGACGACGAACCTTCAACACATGCTGCCGACTTTCAACTAATTATGCTAACTACACTCAGCTGTGTCGTAAATGTGGTTCTGCACAAGTCGTCTGTCCTCGGGGGACTTGGCGAGGCCGGATCCCGGGGCCGTGAGGAACTGAAATAACACTGCACAGACTCTCAGGGTTCAGAAACCCAGGACGTGCTCTGTGGTTGTTGGTCAACATTGGCATTGCTGCCAGGGAAGGAGGGAAGTGGGGAGAAAACCCACTTCCCTTCTGAGGAGCTAAGAGTTTTAATTTGATCTTGTTAGGTGCCATCAAGTCAGTTCTGACTCATAGCTACCCCCTGTGACACAAGTACTGCCCTATGGGGTGTTCTTAGCTGGAGCACACTACAAGGTCTTTCTCCCAGGGAGCCACTAGGTGGATTTGAACCACCAACCCTTGGCTAGCAGGTGAGCACTTAACCATTCAGCCACCAGGGCTCCTTTGAACAAAAGCAAACCCACTACCACTTAAGTTCATGTGGACTCACAGTGACCCTATGCGAGGTTTCTGAGACTGTAAATCTTTACAGGACCAGACAGCCTCATCTTCCTCCGCGGAGCTCTTGGTTGAGTATGAACTCCCAATCTTGCAGATACTAGAAGTCTGTTATGGTCAGTGCTGTCGAGTCAGTTCTGACCCATAGCGACCCTGTATAGGGTTTCCAAGGAGAAGCTGGTGAGCTTGAACCACTGACCCTGTAGTTCAAACGACTTTACAGTCTGACGCATTAGCCCACAGGGCCACACCAGGTCTCCATCCTACTAGAAGGTTTAAAAATAGAATTTTTCAGATGATTTCTGTGACAGTTTCCTAATCTTAATAAGTACACGCATCATTCATTCCATTTAACTTTAAAATGACTCTGAACCTTTGTTGTCTGCCTCACAGGCACATCCCCCCGCCCCATGCAGCAGATATGCGGCGTCATCTTCTGAACCCTCACGGGGACAGTGTGCACAGATGCTGAGTTAATAAAACTGCCCACAAAGAGGGGTGCTGCTCAAAGCCCTCAACGGCCACCTCCAGGGAAGGCCAAAGAGTGTGCTTTTCAGTGATGATGTCATGAAAAGCACCCAGGCTGCTAACCCCTGGAGGAGGTGCGGGGTGTGTTTGCTGTGACAGACCCCAACCCCTCGTGTAGGACTACGCAGGGGTCACTTGATTCCCAAGTGACGCAGGAGACCGTCTGTGGATGTCAAGGCTACAACAGCTCGGCATTTCATTCCTAGTGTGACTTCTTGCTGCCCAGAGCACCGGGCAGTGAGATCATCAGGAAACAGATTTCAGCGTGGGACCAAAACAGTGGAAAAATGTTCTCGACCAGCTGCAGAGCCCGGCTCTTCCTGCTTGTCTGAATTCACCCACCTAATCCAGGGCATCTAGTGCCTAGTGGGAGTTGGAGTCCAGCTATCAGGGGACATGGAGAAAAAAGGCCTTCAGCCCAGAGGATGGGGGCTCCAATTCCCAGTCCAAGGAAAAGCAGCAGCAAGTCCAGAGGTTCAACAGTGCCCCCAACTCAGGGCCCCAGGAATCGCCCACTGCCAGGCACATCCCCGGGGAGGAGAGTCAGCATGGGCTCATTTGTACGGGCGCTGTCCAAGATGGGGGCCACCTCCCAGCCCACAGTCTCACACACATTCCCCATGAGCCTCGTTCTGTCTACAGAACGCTGCTCTGCCCTTGTCTTGGGGTCTAATCGAGTTCAACTCTGAAAGATTGTGAAAGTTATTGTACAGGAAAACGTACCGGGGAAAGGGAGGGGGGTGCACGTGGCTTCAAAAGCTTGTGGAGTAATGGAATTAAAATCTAATGGATTTTTCCAGAACTGTTAGAAGCTGCCCCATGTGTGGCCCTTGTGTGCTGGGAGACCTCTGCTATCTCAAGCTCCTTGTTTGGGTCTAAATAAAAAATGTAAAATATACCAGATTCAGCAATTTATACATTCTTTAAATGCCTCCAAATCAGTTTCTTTGATTTTCTGTTTATGGCTGTGTTCTGAGTTGCTCTGATGACAACTCTCAAGAAAACAAGCTTTGGGACAGAAACGTAGGAAAGCCCGAATGCAAGTCAAGAAAACAAGTATTCGACTTTCTCTCGCAGTGTGAACTGACTCCCTTCTCATTAGCAAGGGACCCTGGTGGCGCAGTGGGTAAGCATTGGGCTGCTAACCAGAAGGCTGGCAGTTCAAACATACCCACCGCTCTGTGAGAGGAAGCCTCCAGTCTCAGACTCTCCGGAGCCACTCTGCTCTCTGACACAAGTCAGAACTGACTCGAGGACAGACCCCACAAGCACCTGCCTCGCTGGAGGCAGGACAGGCGCTCAGCCTGGTAAGCTTCTTCATCAGGAAGTCCCACTCCTCTTCCTGCCTCATGGCAGCGCAGCCTGGTGGGACCAGAGCAAGCACTGCTGGAGCCCCCCCTGTGTGAAAGCTGCTTAGGTGAAAACAAAGCCGGCCAATGCAGCCGAGCCAGAGCCAGCAGAAGCAGCGATTCTCTCTGCTGAGGACCCAGGTGACTGCCCCAGGGGAGGAGAGACTGTTGTTACCACTGCCAGCAGGCCGCCCCGGGGGGACCTCTCGGCACAGGGACCCATCTGCAGTGACACTGTGGAGGCAGCCTGTTAGGGCTGAGACAGAAAAGGAGGGGGCAGGGCGGCCACAGCACACACTGGGGGCGGCGGGAGGAGCCTGGTGGCACACAGGTCCAGTGCTGGCCTCCTGGCCGCTGGGGAAACGCTTTGGGGCAGTTGGAGTCTGTCTCCTGTCAGACTGGACCGGACCGAAGACAGCCTTTGCGTACCAACAGCAGGTCCCACTGCTCCTGCAAGGCTGGCTATGGGATAATACATCGGACTGCAAGGTTGTCTGAATCGCAGGGTTGGTGGTTCAAGCCCACCGGCCACTCCTTGGAAACCCTATACAGGGTCGCTATGGGTCAGAACCGACTTGACAGCAACAACAGCAGACGTGCCTTGAAAGAAAAACCTGACAATTTGCTCCCAAAGTAACAGCCATTGGAAACTCTGGCTCACAGGGTCGCCGTGAGTTGGCAGCTGGTCTCATTAGCACCAGGGTTCAGGCCCTTCCCAGCGCACGACTTACCTCATATAGGAAGCTGGAGAGAGGGGCTTGGGCTTCACCCACGGGCAGGAGGCCTGTGGCACCGACAGGTACTGGTCACAGAAGGCACCCTTGCGGATGTGCTGGAAGGCAGGGAAGTCACTGGGTGAGAAGGCGGCAGCGGGCGGGGTGGTGCCCGGGTCCTCGCCGGCCGGCTCCACCTTGAACGCCATGGCCGCCGTGTGCTCCAGTGTGGTCTTGCGGGCCTTGACGGGCACACCTTCCCCCAAGTCCAGCGAGGTGTCGGTGGACAGGGCGTTAATGGCGGCCACAATGGCGGAACTGGTGAACTGCGTGGACTCATCCAGCCAGGTGTCGTCGGTGACGCTGACGCGCGGGGAGCCTTGTGGGGATGGCGTGGGCGAGGGGTGCGGCGAGCAGGAGGCATGCCGGCCATTGAGGCCATACTTGCGTTTGTTGCAGGGCGAGGAGGGTCGGGAGCCATGAGCACCCAGCCAGCTCTCCTCGGTGACACTGGTGCGCGGCGAGGTGGACGGTGAGTGGCGTGGCGAGGCCAGCAGGGTGCAGGCCCCCAGCCCACGGGGGAAGCCGTCCTCGGGCTCGGTGGTCTTGGGGGACACGCAGGGGGACTGCCAGGGTGACGTCTGGGGAGACGCATAGGGGTACGAGTAGTTGGACTCGTAGGAGGAGGCCTCTGAGTTGCAGCTTCGGGAGGAGAGACTGCTGGCCGGGCTCAGGCAGGTGGGGTCCCGGTACGCCTCGAGGCTGGGCAGGGGCAGTGTGGCAGTGGAGGGTGCTCGCCTGGCCCCGGGGACGGTGTCCTCCACCTCCGCATCATGGAAGAACGGGTTGCTGCCGTGGTGTAGACCCAGGTAGGAGGTGATCTCGATGCGAGGACTCTCCAGAGTTGGGGCGCCGTTAGGCCGGGCACCGCCTGAAGGCAGGAAGTATCCAGCAGACCCGCTGTCCACCGTGCTCCCGTACCCTGAGGGGTGGCCAGCCGACGGGAGGACAGTGATGACTGGGTTGGAGGTCTGCAGGTCATGGCAGGGGGCTGGCAGTGAAGGGTGCGCTGTGCTGAGAGGCAGGCCGGAGCTGAGTCCAGAGGACACATAGCTGTAGTGTTCTGGAAGGAAGAAGAACATGAGGGGCTATTCATGAGCTGAACAAGCACCTGACTGCAGGCCAACACGACCCCCGAACTGAGCCCTGGCACCAGGTCTGCCCCCAGCAGAACGCCCTTGGAGAGTGAGTGACTCACACTGTCGGCCACCCGCCGCCCTCGCCGCTCCTGCCCAGGAAAGTTCGCTCAAGAGCTGCAGACAGGACACCCAGCTGTCCTTCAGGAGGAAGCCCATCCCCGAACCCAATACTTGCTTCAATTTTCTACTGAAGAGGAACGGTCCTCCCTAAGGGTGCCCCTCCCCATGTCTCTCCCGCTTGGTGGAGTCTGAGTCCTTGAGGACTCAGGATCCTGTCTGTCCGTGTGTCTGTTCCACTGCCCTTCTTGTAGCCCACGACTGTGTCCATAAACAGGCTCAGAGAGCTTAGTGTGAAAATGAACAAATGAAAGAATGAATGAATGGATCTTAGACAGAGCCTCAGGCGCTGAGGGACTTGCGCAGGCTGACCGCTGCCGCGGGTTCTGATGCGATGTTTCCATGTTAGCCGCAAATACACCGCAGCAGGAACAAAACCCGATTCGGGGCCGCTGGGAAGACCTGGTCCTAGCACAGATAAGCTGCCCACGCCGCGAGGCCCAAGAAGCACTGCACAAGTTGGAATTCTTACTCAGAAACCTCCCTTCAAAATGAAGGTCCATTTCCTGGACCTACTTGGACAGAAGAAGCCGTTGCGGAGCAGTGGGCTGTGTTGGGACAGTTCAAACCCACCAGGGACAAAGATGACAATGTCTGCTCCTATGAAGAGTGAGTCCTGGGAACAAGCCCGATGGCTGTGTGCTGGCTATGGAGACCCCTGGTGGGGCACCACACTGCCAACCACAAGGTGGGTGGGTCAAACCTATAAGCTGACCCTATACCGGGTCACTATGAGTGGGAACCGACTCGGGAACACTAACAGCAGCACAGAGTGGGACAGTGATGACAGGAGTGACCACACCATAGGTACCTAGTTCCATCTCCAGGTTCCAGGACCCACCCCACATGAACAAGGCTACCCTTCTGCTCTTTAGTGACCCAGAAACCCATACAGTGAGCCCGAGAACCAACAGGGCTGGGCTTAGCGCCCCAACTACGCAGGAATCCATGCCCATCTGTACATTCCAGAAGTCTCCACCGGCAGGGCTCTGTGTCTACACAGCCTTTCACAAGGCTCTGGTGCAGCTGCGACCCTCTTGACAACAGTCACAATGGAGAAGCCTGCCATCAGTCCAGTGATAATGGGGTCTTGGGAGAGAGAATCAGTGGGCCCCAAAAGCCTGGCGAGGAGGGGCATGGCCAGAGAGTGCAGGACAGCTGGAGCGAGACTGCGCTCACACAGGCCCCCAGCCCAGGTCTGAGTCTGGATGGAGAAGCCAACACCAAGAGGGTTTTTCTGGGTCAGAGAGCCCCCAGGGCCAGGGGAGCCATGCTCGGTCCCCGTGGGGCCTGCGTCTGTGTGTACTCTCCCATCTCTGGAGACCCTTCGCAGGAAGACAAAATGGGTACCCCCTGAGAAAGAGGGTCTTCTGTGTCCAGGCTGACTAGGACCCCGAATACCCACCTCCACAGGCCTCTGCACCTCTTGGGACAGGCCTTCCACAGAACACCCAGCTTCTCCCCAAGAAGCAAAATGAGGATAAACCACACTCCCCTTATGCTCCCAAAGGGCAGCCACAGCCATACCCACCCAGGTACGCACTTGGGATTCCACACCTGGAGACCACATGTGGGAGGACTCACACCTAGGGACCCACACTAGAGGTCCACACCTGGGGCCCAAAGATCCACACCTGAGGGTCCACACCTGGAACTACATCTGGGCCCCACACCAGTAGTGCACACCTAGGGCCCCCATTTGTGGATCTACACTGGGAGTCCACATCTGAGGGACCACACCTGGGAGGAACACCTCCCTGCTTCTAAGAAGGGCAGGTCAGGTGGTGGAATGACACTGGAAAGGAAAGGAAGTGTAACTGTGAGCGCTGTGAACACCAGCTCAAGTTGTCCTGGGGTCTGACCACCAGCAGAGGCGGAAGGTGTGAGACCCCAGGCTGAGCGGCTGAGCACTGCAGAGATGAATCATTAGTCAGACCCCTGACCACCCTTCTCTCAGCTTCACTTTGGAACTGTTACCTGCTTCTACTTTTGTGATTTGTGATTCTTCTTCACTGTTTACAAGAAATGCCTTGGTCGTCTTTTGTTTTTTTCTCTTTTTTTATCACATGCACGTGTGGTTGTTGTTATTGCGTGCCGTCTAGTTGGTTTTGACTCATAAGAACTCTGTTGTATAGGGTTTTCAAGAGTGGCTTGGTGGATTTGAACCACCAACCCAATGGTTAGCAGTCCAGTCCTTATTCTACAACACCACACCCACTATACCACAAACAATCATGGCTGCCCTAACACGTCCCAAATCATTCTAACCTGGATTTTGAGCAATATAAAAAAAGAGGGACTAAGCTACCGACTGTGTGATTCCAATTGTGTGACATCCTGGGAGGGTGTGGGGGTGGGGAGAAAAAACAGACAGACAGCAAAGAAGGGTGTTTGCCGGGTATGTGTGTGCGTGGCTGTAACAGGCACGTGACAGGCATTCTGGAGGTCAGGGCCACTACTCTGCATGGTGGTGGCTACGGGGCTTCGTTTCACGTTTGTCAGAACCGTTCTGGTGGACTCTACCCAACGCATCAGCACTGGCTCATCAACTGTAACACACAGAGCTTAGGAATGGACGCTGCCGTTTAAGGAGAAACTGTGCGCATGGGAACTGTCAAGTTGGGAACAGTGTTTCTGTCAGACTAAAGCTGCTCTAAACTCTAAAAAAGAAAATGAATCCGTTTTCCAGACAGGGGACAGTCAGCTTGCTTCAGGGAGAAGTCAGATATGAATTAGTTCCACCACAAACAGGGACAGAGGGGATGAAGACAGAGGGGAGGGGCCTTCTCAAACATCCTAAGTGTAATGTGAGTGTGCATATTACATGGCAGGTTACTAGTAACAAAACTCAACAAGTAAATTTACCATGCTGAACATCAGCTACAACAGAAGCCAGAAATCTTTGACTCCCTTAGTTGACGGTTTTGGTCTCACTGCTGAGCTGAGACTTATTATTACCCAGGGATCTCCAGTATGTGCCAAATCCATCAGAAATGAATTTCTTCAAAAAACGGTTTTATTAACTAGCTAGCACTGCTGCGCTGTCTTCCTGGGCCCTGACCGGGATGACCACCAGGGTGGACAGATTCAGGAACACAAACGAACTCCCTTCTTTATCGCTTTCCGTTCTGATAGAGGCACGCCAACCTCTTAACATTAAAATAAGAACAAGTTTCCATAACAGACGCATTAGGCATGAAGATGTTGTTACTGTTTGGTGCCGTTGAGTCGGTACTGACTAACAGTAACCCGAAACACCGCCCCGTCCTGCCCCATCCTCACAATTGTTGTGTTTGAGCCCTTGTTGTGTGACGACGTCAATCTCTTGTTGGGGGTCTTCCTCTTCTTCCCTGACCACTTTCCTATCATGATGTCCTTCTCCAGGGACTGGTCCCTCCAGATATGTCTGAAGTATGAGAGTTGAGGAGGATAAGAAATATAAAATTTATATGACTACCTCCATCGTCCCAATCAACACTCACTCTTGACACTTATAGTGCTATGGGTTAGCTGCTGGGGTGTAAACTGCAAGGTTGGTGGTTCAAACTCACCAGCTGCTCCGGCGTCTGTCTCAGAAACCCTACACGAGGTTGCTACGTGTCAGAACTGGCCCAGTGGCCATGGGTTTGGGGTTTTTCCTGACACTGGAGCAGATGCCTTAAGCACCTTGCAAGGAGCCCTGCCAAGCCTTTACAGATTGTCATAGTGGATTCATGGGACTGTTACACTTAAGATTCCTGAGGTCCTGGCTCCCACCTTAGAGGATGAGGCAGTCTGTTGTTTTATGTGAGACACCATGATGGCACCAGGAACTGCCCTTTGCTGGAAAGGGTTTTCTGAAGAATGAAAGTCTAGCTGTTTCTCACTTCCGGTGTTTGACGCTCAGTCTCTGCTCCTGGGTGTTGAGGGGGCTTGGGGGGGGGGGAGGTGCGTTTAACACTGGAAGCATTTTGAATAAAACCCTGCACTGGAGAAACGGGGCTCATGACAGAAAGCCCCTACACTGAGGGAAGAAATGAAGGCTCCCAGGCAGGAGAGAGTAAACAGCTGCTTGGTCAGGTAGCACTTTTACCTGAAGTATGTGGTTAGAACTTGATTCCGTGAGGAAAACAGAAAATACACAGCCTTGTTAGAAACGAAGACTGCCCAACCGTGAATTTTCCTGAATTCAACAAATTACAAAAGGTGAGGCTTAAATGTCTAAACTCAATTAGGAGCCCTAGGCCCTCCTCCAGGGAGGACACAATCTGATGAGGCTAGAAACTCTTCTCATTTAAGAACACCCACAGGTTAGAGCCCTGAGCTTAGCCCCAGCACTGCCCTCCCTCCCCAGGCCCCAACTCCTGCCTGGCGGAGAGGCCGAGGGTCCCTACTTTCCCCCTCCCAGTTGTTTTCTCTATTGGGTTTTATTACCCACCTGAGCTGTACTCAAATTTGAATTAGGTCACAGTTCAGAAGGCTAAATCCACTGGAAGGAGCAGATTTGCAGTCAGTTTCTCTGCCACTCTGCAAGATGCAGGCTCCAGAACAGAGGTCAGCACCTTTACAGCCACTTTCTACCGGACCCCAAGGAGCCTGGCCACTTGCCAAGACATCACAGTATGGTGGACACAGAAGGCATGGCACTATTTTAAACAAATATATGGAGAGCATATTCAAAATCAACTGATATAGTCAAATATGACCATAATGTGCCTCGTCCTTTGAAGATAAAGTCTGCATTGTTCTCAGTCTGCAAACGTTCAGAGTGGCCACACACTCCTCGGTCTCCCATCCTCTGTAGAGTCACTGTGTGTTTGAGGTCACT